CAACCCGACAAGGGGCAGCTGCCAAACACCTGACAGAGGCCCAGGTGCTCAATGCACCTTCCGCCTGCATAAAGAGGAGAGGCCGGTAGAGGACTGTGAATGAAAAGTTGTCCCCCAGGTTGGACTTCACCACACAGCCCAAGCCTGCCACTGCCCTCTGTGGTGTCGTGAGTGCCAATGGTAAGGTCGCTTACCCTTCAGGTGTAAAAGAGATCACCGACAAGATCACCATGGACGAGATGATCAAACGCCTGAAGGTTTTGGGGTTCCTTAACGTTTCTGGACCTTGGTATGATGATGGGAACTCAAATGGATATTGATAAGAAAATTGATGAAAAACTTAATGCTTTGGGACAAACTGTTACTATTCTTGGTGACTAATATTCCTTATAATGACACTAAACAACAGTGGCCTCTTGTTAAGGCCCATTTACAAGGAATTTGGACGCATGACAATTTCCTTCTCCCGGTACTCTTTCGCCTTGTGTTCCCCTCCCTTTAACAACTGCGGCTCAAGCTTTTTGAGTTGCATCTAAAAACAAAAGGGAGAACTAAGGGAGACCTGTGGATATCGCTCCCATGTGAAGCCCCTAGGAAATGGGCCTCACCATACAGTGAGCTTGAGCCCGGACACAGATCCCCGGTTTGGGGAGTTGAGCTGGGGGTGAGAGAGGGACTATATGTTATTCAAAATAATTAACAGACATTACTTTATGAATATGAGGACTTGGGAGGCATTGTGTCTACTTTCGGCTTCTCATGGTTTATTGCTTGATTGTGTTCATTTTGGACCCTTGTTACATTCATTGTAAAATATTAACTTAATATTTACACTTGGTAACTTACTGTAACTTACTGGGCATAACTGTAACTTACGGTAGCTTACAGGGCATAACTGTAACTTACTTACCATAGCTTACAGGGTGTAACTGTAACTTACCATAGCTTACAGGGCGTAACTGTAACTTGCTTACAATTGTTAAGTACTTACTGGGTGTAACTTACTTGCTGGGTGTAACCTATTTACTGAGCTTAACTTATTTACTGGGTGTAACTTAGTGGGCGTAACTTGCTTACTGTAACTTAAGTACGTTGATCTGGCATAAATAATGTTAACTTCAAAAAAGTATGTAATGAGACATATTGCAAAAATAAAATTGCTGCATGAGCATAGCGCATGTAGCCCTCCGGACGTCGCTCTTTTCTATCTCCTTTTTTCCCAGAACACGCTCTTTTCCAGGTTTGGGACCCTCTCGCTGGATGAGATTCCCAGGCTTGCGTTCAGTTCCCAACAGAAATCCAAAATTGACACCCTATCATCAAAATTGAAAGAGCTAGAGGAGAAAGATCAAAAAAACTCAAAACCCAGCAGAAGACAAGAAATAACTAAGAACAGAGCTGAACTGAAGGAGATAGAGACACAAAAAACCCTTCAAAAAATCAATAAATCCAAGAGCTGGTTTTTTGAAAAGATCAACAAAATAGACACACCACTAGCCAGATTGATTAAAAAGAAAAGAGAGAACAACCAAATAGATGCAATAAAAAATGATAAAGGGGAAATCACCACAGATTCCACAGAAATTCAAAACATCATCAGAGAATATTACAAACAACTCTATGCACATAAACTAGTAAACCTGGAAGAAATGGATAAATTCCTGGACTCCTGTGTCCTCCCAAGCCTAAACCAGGAGGAAGCTGAAACTATGAATAGACCAATAACAAGGTAAGAAGTCGAGGCAGCAATTAAGAGCCTACCATACAAAAAAAGCCCAGGTCCAGATGGGTTCACAGCTGAATTCTACCAGACACACAAAGAGGAGCTGGTACCATTCCTTCTGAAACTATTCCAAATAATTCAAAAAGAGGGAATCCTTCCCAAATCATTTTATGAGACCAATATCATCCTGATACCAAAACCCGGCAGAGACCCAACAGGAAAGAAAACTTCAGGCCAATATCCATGATGAACATAGATGCAAAAATCTTCAATAAAATATTGGTAAGCCGATTGCAACAGCACATCAAAAAGTTTATCCATCATGATCAAGTAGGATTCATCCCAGGGATGCAAGGCTGGTTCAACATACTCAAGTCTATAAACGTAATTCACCACATAAACAGAACCAAAAACAAAAACCACATGATTATCTCCATTGACACAGAGAAGGCATTCAACAAAATTAAAAAGCCCTTTATGCTAAAACCCTCAATAAACTCGGTATCGATGGAACGTATCTCAAAGTAATAAAAGCTATTTACGACAAACCAACAGCCAGTATCATACTGAATGGGCAAAAACTGGAAGCATTCCCTTTGAAATCCGGCACTAGACAAAAATGCCCTCTTTCACCACTCCTATTCAATATAGTACTGGAAGTTCTAGCCATAGTAAGCAGGCAAGAAAAAGAAATAAAGGGTATTCAAATAGAAAAGTTGGAAGCCAAATTGTCTCTATTTGCAGACGACATGATAGTATACCTAGAAGACCCCATCGCCTCAGCCCAAAAACTCCTGAAACTGATAAGCAACTTCAGCAAAGTCTCAGGATATAAAATCAATGTGCAAAAATCACAAGCCTTCCTCTACACCAATAACAGACTTAAAGAAAGCCAAATCAAGAACGAACTGCCATTCACAATTGCTACAAAAAGAATAAAATACCTATAAATACAACTCACAAGGAACGTAAGGGACCTCTTCAAGGAAAACTACAAACCACTGCTCAACGAAATCAGAGAGGACACAAACAGATGGAGAAACACTCCATGTTCATGGTTAGGAAGAATTAATGTCATGAAAATGGCTATACTGCCCAAAGTAATTTGCAGAATCAACGCTATCCCCATCAAGCTACCATTGACTTTCTTCACAGAACTGGAAAAAACCACCATGAACTTCATATGGAACCAAAAGAGAGCCCGCATAGCCAAGTCGATTCTAAGCAAAAAGAACACAGCAGGGGGCATCACACTACCCGATTTCAAACTATACTACAAGGCTACAGTAATCAAAACAGCATGGTACTGGTACCAAAACAGAAATATAGACCAATGGAACAGAACAGAGGCATCGGAGACAACACAACATATCTACAACCATACAATCTTTGATAAACCTCACAAAAACAAGCAATGGGGAAAGGATTCCCTGTTTAACAAAAGGTGTTGGGAAAACTGGCTAGCCATGTGCAGAAAGCAGAAACTGGACCCCTTCCTGACACCTTACACTAAAATTAACTCCAGATGGATTAAAGACTTAAACATAAGACCTGACACCATAAAAACTCTAGAAGGAAATCTAGGCAAAACCATCCAGGACATAGGAGTAGGCAAGGACTTCATGAACAAAACACCAAAAGCATTGGCAACAAAAGCCAAAATAGACAAATGGGGCCTAATCAAACTCCACAGCTTCTGCACGGCAAAAGAAACAGTCACTAGAGTGAATCGGCAACCAACAGAATGGGAAACCATTTTTGCAGTTTACCCATCTGACAAAGGGCTGATATCCAGAATTTACAAAGAACTCAAACAGATTTACAGGAAAAAAAACAAACAAGCCCATTCATGGTTGGGCAAAGGATATGAACAGACACTTTACAAAAGAAGACATATATGAGGCCAACAATATATGCTCATCATCACTGGTCATCAGAGAGATGCAAATCAAAACCACATTGAGATACCGTCTCACGCCAGTTAGAATGGCGATCATTAAAAAATCTGGAGACAATAGATGCTGGAGAGGATGTGGAGAAAAAGGAACACTTTTACACTGTTGGTGGGAGTGTAAATTAGTTCAACCATTATGGAAGACAGTGTGGCGATTCCTCAAGGCCTTAGAAATTCCAATTGACCCAGCAATCCCATTACTGGGTATATATCCAAAGGACTATAAATTGTTCTACTATAAGGACACATGCACACGAATGTTCATTGCAGCACTGTTTACAATAGCAAAGACCTGGAATCAACCCAAATGTCCATCGATGATAGACTGGATTGGGAAAATGTGGCACATATACACCATGGAATATTATGCAGCAATCAGAAATGATGAGTTTGTGTCGTTTGTAGGGACATGGATGAATCTGGAGAACAACATTCTCAGCAAACTGACACAAGAACAGAAAATGAAACACTGTATATTCTCACTCATAGGTGGGTGATGAAAAATGAGAACACATGGACACAGGGAGGGGAGTACTAACCACTGGGGTCTATTTGGGGGAAAAGGGGAGGGCCAGCGGAGGTGGGGGAGCTGGGGAGGGATAGCCTGGGGAGAAATGCCAAATGTGGGTGAAGGGGAGAAAGGAAGCAAAACACACTGCCATGTGTGTACCTATGCAACTGTCTTGTACGTTCTGCACATGTACCCCAAAACCTAAAATGCGATAAAAAATTTTTTAAAAAAAGAAAGTTTTAAATATAAAATAAATATGTCTGCATGTGTGTGAATGACCAGAAATATCAGATGAACGATTAGCCTGGATTGATAACAGGGCATTTCTATGATAATTAGCTGTCTTTGGAGCATCTACAGGTGCAGGCAGACCACCCAAATTCAAAAGGAAAAGGTGGAAATGAACCCAGGGGTTCAAGTCTCTCTTTGTTTTTTCTTTCTTTTTTTTGGGATGGAGTTTCACTCTTGTTGCCCAGGCTGGAGGGCAATGGCTTGATCTCAACTCACCACAAACTCCACTTCCCAGGTTCAGTTGATTCTCCTGCCTCAGTCTCCCGAGTAGCTGGGATTACAGGCATGTGCCACCATGCCCGGCTAATTTTTGTATTTTTAGTACAAACGGGGTTTATCCATGTTGATCAGGCTGGTCTCAAACTCCCGACCTCAGGGTGATCCACCCACTTCGGCCTCCCAAAGTGCTTGGATTACAGGCATGAGCCACCGCAACTCGCCTATTCTTAACTTTTTTTTGTCTAAGTTCCCAATGGAAAGTTGGTTAAACTTAAGTAAAATTATAACACTTGGTCTCACAGGTTTAGAAGAGGACACCCAGTCCTGGCAGGAGCCCACGCTGAGGCTCATCCTTGTTGGGAGAACAGGTGCCGGGAAGAGCGCCACTGGGAACAGCATCCTGGGCCAGAAACGGTTCCTGTCCAGGCTGGGGGCCTCGTCTGTGACCAGGGCCTGCACCACGGCCAGCTGCAGGTGGAACAAGTGGCACGTGGAAGTCGTGGACACTCCAGACATTTTCAGCTACCAGGTGCCCAAGACAGATCCCCGCTGCGAGGAGAGAGGTCACTGCTACCTGCTCTCGGCACCAGGGCCCCACGCGCTGCTCCTGGTGACCCAGCTGGGCCGGTTCACCACCCAGGACCAGCAGGCGGTGAGGCAGGTGAGGGACATGTTTGGGGAGGGCGTCCTGAAGCGGATGGTCATTGTCTTCACCAGGAAGGAGGACCTGGCCGGGGGCTCCCTGCACGATTACGTGCGCGGCTCAGAGAACCGGGCCCTGCGCGAGCTCGTGGCCCAGTGCGGGGGCCGGGTCTGTGCCTTTGACAACCGGGCGACCGGCCCGGAGCAGGAGGCCCAGGCGGAGCAGCTGCTGGGGCTGGTGGAGGGCCTGGTGCGGGAGCACGAGGGCGCCCACTACTCCAACGAGGTGTACCAGCTGGTGCAGCAGCTGCGCTGGGCGGACCCCGAGGAGAGGCTCCGGAGGGTGGCGGAGCGCGTGGCCAACCGCATGCGGAGGAGGCGGTGGAGCGCCGGGCGGGGGGCGTGGCCGAAGCCGTGCTGGAGCTGGAGCCTGGGCCTGGCCCTGCTGTTGGGAGGCGCCCTACTGCTCTGCATGCTGCTCCACAGGCGCCAGTGTGAGGTCTTGTTGGAATTCAGGCCTGACTGACAGCGCAGGCCCTAAAACTGCAGGCACCTTGCTAAGAGAGCGGTTGAAGGAAAAAATTCATTCCAACAGAAGGAATCCTGTCGTTTCACGCATCGAGTTTTAACGACACAGAAAACTTAGAACGCTGCATCATCTTTGCAACTTTGCCAAGGCTCAGAGCTAACTTTGTATGTTTTTAAGTCTAATTTTAAACAATGCGTATGCAGAGTTTTAAAATAAATTCGTCTAACAATAACTTTCTTTGATAGTTTTGGTAGTTTAATGTCAAGTAGCTTGTAGTGGGGACAAATCCATGGCACAGGGAAAACAAGTGCCTTTATTTTAGAACTTTTTAAAAAATTCTATTTGGACTGCTCCTCCTTGATAATTTTCTTGTTCGTATTCATTGGTAGATATGTTCCTTTGGGATTCTTGTAGACTTTTAGCATCAGTGAAAGAAATGTGGGGGTTACACATGTTAATATTACTTCTGAGACATCAGTTTATTAGTACAATGATTTTCTACCAAAATGGTAAGTGTAACTGTGCTGAAAATAACAGTTTCCACTTTTCTAGAACATATTATGGTTCTTGGCTTTCCAAAATGAAGTAGGGTCCCGGCACAGTGGCTCGACCTGTAATCCCAACACTTTGGGAGGCCTAGATGGGCGGATCACCTAAGGTCAGGAGTTCAAGACCAGCCTGGCCAACATGATGAGACCCCGTCTCTATTAAAAATACAAAAATTAGCCTGGTGTGGTAGCCTTCGCCTGTAATCGCAGCCACTCGGAAGGCTGAGGCGAGAGAATCCTTTGATGCAGTGAGCCGAGATTGTGCCACTGCACTCCAGCCTGGGTGATAGAGTGAGACTCTGTCAGAAAGAAAAAGAAAGAGAAAGAAGAAAGAAAGAAAAAGAAAGAAAGAAAGAAAGAGAAAGAGAGAGAGAGAGAGAGAAAGAGGGAAGGAAGGAAAGAAGGAAGGAAAGAGAGAGAGAGAGAGAGAAGGAAAGAAAGAAAGAGAAAAGTATTATATTGGGGAAATAACATGTAATATCTTCTATATGGTTATTCATATTTTTGTCACCTGTATCCCAAGCTCCTCCCTGGTCACGGAGAAGAGGCAGAGCACCAGGTGCATAGACTGAGATTGCAGACACCAGAGCATCCTATGCTGTGTAGCTAAAGCATCCGGGGCCTGTCCAGGAAGGTTCTTGAATGCCACATGATTAGAAAATGTGACGCTCACTGACGCTGACTGGTTCTGCAAACCAATCCTTATTTCTATTTCTGAGCATAATGAGAGGCCTTTAAGGGAACTCGATGTCTTTAAGTCAGCCAACCTCTAGTAAGGACATGGAGACACAGGAAGCAGATATTCACCTGAGCCCCAATCAAGGGGAGGAGGAGGAGGCGGCGGCAGCTGGAGTGTGCGCAGGTGCCCTTGGGTCCTTCCCAGCACACGTTGGGAAGGAGGAGTCTGCAAGCATGTGCACAAATGCCAGGTCGGGCTAAAGACCGCTGGAGGTTCCAGGTAGGCTTCAGGCTTCGGACAGGCTATGGTCTGGGATCCTAAGGGTCTTGGTGACCGCTGCAGGGAGTTGGACTTTTTGAAACGTGGCTCAAGAAAAACCCATGTTTAATTTCTCCCTTTCACTTCCTCAGCAGCCATACTTGGCCCAAGCAGGGGCCTCAAGCCAGGAAGGGATTCCTTTAATGACCAGAGGGGGCAGCAGGGAGGGCACAGCGTGGTAGCAACTAAGTGGTTTAGTGTACAGCAGCAGCAAAGGTATTGCTCTTCGTGGAGCAGGGCTCCCCCATAGGCAGTGTGCCCAGAGTGGCAGCAGCAGCGTGGAAGCAGTTCTGCAGTCATAGTTATACCCGCTCTGAATTATATGCAAATTAAGGGGTGGATTATGCCAACATTTTTAGAAAAAGGGTGATAGCTTCCAGGTCGTGGCATTGTTGCCATGGAAAGGAGCTGTAACTTCCAGGTGTTGCCTTAGCAATGGTAACCTGACATGGCACTGGTGAGTGTGTTTTATGGAGAGACTCACCTCTTCCCTTTCAAGCTAGTCTTCAGTGTGTCTGGAGCCCAATCCCCACCACTAGAGTCGAGTCCTGCCTCCTACCTCAGTAATATAAAGTAGCATATGGTTAATTGTCAAATACATTTGTAAAGTGCAATCAAAGATGTATTGTCAATCTGAATCTCAAAATATGCTATCATCGAGAGGGGACTCAAGATGGCGCGGTGAGAACAACCCAGGATTGAAGCTTCAATCAATGCCCATTGATGATAGACTGGATTGGGAAAATGTGGCACATATACACCATGGAATATTATGCAGCAATCAGAAATGATGAGTTTGTGTCGTTTGTAGGGACATGGATGAATCTGGAGAACATCATTCTCAGCAAACTGACACAAGAACAGAAAATGAAATACCGCATATTCTCACTCATAGGCGGGTGACGAAAAATGAGAACACATGGACACAGGGAGGGGAGTACCAAACACTGGGGTCTATTGGGGGGAAGAGGGGAGGGACAGCGGAGGGGCGGGGAGCTGGGGAGGGATAGCCTGGGGAGAAATGCCAAATGTGGGCGAAGGGGAGAAAGGAAGCAAAACACACTGCCATGTGTGTACCTATGCAACTGTCTTGCATGTTCTGCACATGTACCCCAAACCTAAAATGCAATAAAAAATTAAAAAAATATATTTTATCATTTTTGAATTTGAATAATATTTTAAAAGTTACAGCTTTACATTCAATAACATTTCTCTAGTGATTTTCTTTTTCAGAAACTTTGATTACGATCTTTTTTTTTTTCACCTTTGTATCCCTGTCATACAACCCAGTGCCTGGCATATAAAGTAGGGTCAATAATTGTTTGGAAAATGAATGGTAAAGTTGAATTTCCTGTACACTTTTAACATTGGGTTTCTAATTATGAGAGTGTTTACCATTTTCTAAGTTTTCTACTATAGATAACAAAAAATTCTTTCGTGTAAGCATGTCATTGTATCAATGACATTCTCCTGCCCTAAGGAAATTTTCTTCCCTTTAAGCACAGAGTCCCCCAAATTACTGTATTTCTACCCCTTTCAGCTTATTTTATCCTTTTCTCCTGCTACAGGACAGCTGGCATTCACCGTTTCATCCAGTAAAGTATATTTTAGGCTGTGGTTTGAAGGGTGCTTTTCCCCCCATAGCTCAGGGTTAGGTCTTGTGACCTCACTTATGTAATTCGAGTGATTTGATAGCACAAATCAATTTTATATTTAAATTACAGCATAAAACAGCACTGCCTCCTATAGGTGTGCACCATTCTAAATTTTGCTAAAAAATTCTTGCCAATTTTAATCAGTCACAGGGTAAAAATACTGCCCAATACTTCAAAAATTGCATGAATATATATTCATTTCAATTGTGTCCCCCTTCCTCTCTTCTTTTATCTCTTTGAGGATAAAAAATGTATGAGTCATGCGCTAATGATGTTTCTCTTCATGTTTCCAAGCCTTGGTGCCCTGGACCAGCTTTTGTTCTACACAAAAAGACTTGTATCTGGCTTATTTCTGAAAGCTAGTGTTGGCCATGGTCAACTTTTAGAACAAAATATTTCAGGCACTGTGTACATTCTTATTCTTACACAATCAATTTTCAGTTCCAGCCACAACATGACCCTGATAGTCACCAGTGCTCCTTCCAGAGATTCACCTATGGATTGAATTCCCAGAAGAGAATTCCTGTAAACTTTGGGGGAAGCTATAGCTAGACTATGGGTAAACACTCATTTATCCCCAGTGATTTTTAATCTAACAGTGGCAATGTTGGCCTATTCTAGGCAACTATTGTTCTTGCTTATTCTACCAATAAAATATATTATTGAGATGCTTCTAATTTTGTCCCCAGCCTCCTTATTTATTTGAGCAGTTATCACTCCATATACTGGGTATTTTGTTATAATTATTGGTTTGAGTCTTATTTTTATACTTTCAATCACGTTCTTTGCCTAATTCTTCTCATATTTTCATATTTTCTTTCCCTCCTCATAATTCTCTTTACATATCACTAAGTTTAGGCACTTAGACATTTTTTACTTTCAAACGGTGTTATATTGAGCATATACTCTTGATTTCATACACCTGAAGATTCCTAGACTATTTTCTCTGCTGCATGCTAGCATGATGTATCATGGTGAACACTGAAGAGAACTGTGTACCACTCCTCAAAAATTACACACACACGCTTGCATGCATGCAAACACAGACACAAACACACTCACATCTCAATCCCAAGAAACAAATAGATATCTCAATCCCAAGAAACAAAAGGAATGAAAGACTTTCTGACTTCCAGTTCTGCAGAATTTCTTAGAAGGGTCAACTCCAAATTTTAAGCCCAAATTCCCAGAATTTGTTTCCAGTAGGCAGAGAAGGACTTCTTCCTGAAAAGCCGCAGATTCTTTCTTGTGTTAAAAAATAATTCTCTGTAGAGAATTCTCGGTAG